GCTGCTATCATATCCCCCCTCACTCTTCGCTTCTCCAGACTAAACAGACCCAACTCCCTCAGCCTCTCCTCATAGGTCATATGCTCCAGCCCCCTAAGGGCACTTTTTCCGGAGGATCGGGGCCAGTCTAGACGCTCTTTTCCGGCTTTTATAAAGCCGGAAAAAAGCGGCGGACATTTTTATTTAAATGCCGCGGGGGATATTTAAATCCCCCGCGGATTTCCCTACGACGACTCGTGAAATTTACATGCCCCTTCCGGAAAAGGGGCCAGTGTAGACGTAGCCAGGATGTCTGAGTTACCACAGACCCACGTAGGATCAGACTGAGCTCAGAGATTGTTCTTTGTGACACATACTCTGTGTCACAAAGAACAAGAGAGATTTGTGTTACATACTCTGCCCAGATTCCATGTGCTTTCACCTTGCCTGATTTCATCCCTATGCAGGATTCCCCATTCCCAAACCTGATCTGATTGCCTGGCTGGTCCCAGATCTCCAGCCCTGCAAAGAAATGGAGATCCTGAGAGGCAACCCCACAGGTAAAGAGTTGGGGAAACTGGCACAGAAACCTTCCAGCAAATGCAGGAAAAAGCTGGGACTCCCAAAATGAGCAGTGAGTGAGAGCCCTCACTTCTGCCCCATGTCTCCCAGGTAGGGGGTCAGGTATCACCCTGGCAAATACCTGCCACAACTCCCCAGCCATCCTGTCAGCTCTCAGGAGTTTGCTCCCTACGTTTCCTTCCATGAGAGTGTTTGCATGGGGTGTGGAGACAGAATTCAATGCCTCAGTCTCTCCAACTATTATTGTGTTGTGCTTTCTGCCTTTGCCATTCCCCTGTTGGTCCTTTCTCCCCAGCACAGAAAGTGACTCCTGCCTGTATTCTCTCTCTTCCAGCAGGTGCTAGGACAGTGAGGGAGAACAAGGAGGACAATCGACAGCAGGAAGATCCCGGAAGTGTAGAACCACAGGGAACATTTTTGAGAGGAGCTGAAGGGGATTTTTCCCAGTGTGTAGAACGGGTGAAAGCCTGGGGAAATCGACATAGTGCAGAGAATCAACTGGAGAACAATCCAAGCAGGAAAGCAGAGGAATCCATTGAATGTGGAAGAAGATCCGAGGATCCCAAGGAAACTCCAGCCCAGCAAACAGATAACAATGGAAAGAAACCCTGTGAATGCTCAGACTGCGGGAAAAGATTCAGTGAGAAGTCTGACCTTACTCTGCCCCAGAAAGGGCACACAGGAGAGAGACTCTGCAAGTGCCTGAAGTGTGGAAAAAGTTTGATTGAACTGTCATCCCCTATTGAACATGAGATTGTCCCCATGGGAGAGAAATCCCATAAATGCTTAGACTGTGGGAAAAGCTTCGCTTTGAGATCACTCCTTAATAGACATCAGAAAACCCACACTGGAGAGCGGCCATATAGATGCTCGGAATGTGGGAAAACCTTCAATCAGAGCTCATACCTTAATATTCATCAGAGAGTGCACACAGGAGAGAGACCATATAAATGCCATGAGTGTGGGAAAGGTTTCACTCAGCAATCTACCCTCATTAGACATAAGAGAACCCACACAGGAGAGAAACCATATAAGTGCTTTGAATGTGGGAAAGGCTTCAGTCAGAGCTCACACCTTATTATTCATCAGAGACTGCACACAGGAGAGAGACCATATAAATGCTATGAGTGTGGGAAAGATTTCACTCACCGATCCGCCCTTACTGCCCATGAGAGAACCCACATGGGAGAGAGTCCGGAGAGACCATATAAATGCTATGAGTGTGGGAAAGATTTCACTCACCGATCCGCCCTTACTGCCCATGAGATAACCCACATGGGAGAGAGTCCGTATAAATGCTATGAGTGTGGGAAAGATTTCACTTGGCGGTCAGCCCTTACTGTCCATGAGAGAACCCACACAGGAGAGAGACCATATAAATGCCATGAATGTGGGAAAGGTTTCCCTCGATGGTCAGCCCTTTGTGCCCATGAGAGAACCCACAAAGGAGAGAGCCCCTATAAGTGCCATGAATGTGGAAAATATTTCACTCAGAAATCAGCCCTTACTGCCCATGAGAGAATCCACACAGGAGAGAGACCACATGAATGCCATGAATGTGGGAAAGGTTTCACTCGGCGATCAGCGCTTTCTGCCCACGTGAGAATCCACAGTGGGGAAAGACCATATAAATGTCTTGACTGTGGGAAATATTTCACTGAGCGATCAGCCCTCATTAGACATGAGAGAATCCACACAGGAGAGAGACCATACAAATGCCATGAATGTGGGAAAAGCTTCCCTGAGGCATCAGCCCTCAATGGACATAAGAGACTCCACACCGGGGAGAGACCATATAAATGCCTTTACTGTGGGAAAAGCTTCCGGCACGCCTCACACCGTACAAGACATCAGAGAATCCACACAGGTCCTGAATCAGCAAATCCCCCGGGGAAGAAACCTGTCAGAGTTCATTAGCTGGCGTGTAAAACACTTCTATTAGCGCTTGGGCACCAGCGACCACTCCACTCCCGAGGGAAATTCTCTCTGGGTATGTCTACACTACAGCACTAATTTGAACTAACTTAATTCGAATTAGTTAATTCGAACTAAGCTAATTTGAATTAGTGCATCTAGAACTAAAAACTAATTCGAATTAGTGTTTTGCTAATTTGAACTAGCATGTCCACACTGAGTGGACCCTGAACCGAAGTAAAGGCTGGCTGGAACCAGTGCCGGCAGGGCATCAGGTTAGGACTTAGAGTGTGGAGCTGCTGTCTCAGGCAAGCTGAGGGCTGTGCTTAAAGGGACCCGACCCCCACCCCAGACAGACAGTTCTCAGGGTTCCCTGCTTGCTTGTCTACCTCGATGAGGGACATCAAAGCAGTCCTGTCTTGGAGTGCCCTGAATGCCCTCACTCGGCATATCACAGCACTCGGCCATCAGCCCGGCTGCACTTGCTGCAGGCTGCCATCCAGGGAGGGGGTCAATCGGGGGGGATGTCAGGATCCAGGAGACCCTGCAGGAGAGCTTCCACCCCAAGGAGCCCACAGAGCCACTCCAGTCCTCCCCATCGGGGGCTCCTGTCCCATTCCTCCCTCACCTTCTTCCACTTACCCCTCCCTAATCCCCCTTCCTGATGTAAAAAATAAAGGACATGTGTGTTCAAAAATAGAAACTCTCTTTGTTTAACAAAACTGGAGGTGGTAGGGGGGATTAACCTCTGGGGAGACTGGGAAAAGGAGGTGGGCGAGGGGAAGAGAGAAGGTGGGAGAGGGGAGGGGGAAACCTGGGAGGAGGGAGCTGAAAGGGGGAAGCCAGGGGAAGAAGTAGATGGGGAAGTATAAAACTATGGTACGCCCACATCTTCAGTACTGTGTACAGATGTGATCTCCTCATCCCCGAAAAGATATTTTGGCCTTGGAAAGGGTTCTGAAAAGGGCAACTAAAATGATTAGGGGTTTGGAACGGGTCCCATATGAGGAGATGCTAAAGTGACTGGGACTTTTCAGTTTGGAAAAGAGGAGACTTAGTGGGGATATGATAGAGGTCTATAAAATCATGAGTAGTGTGAAGAGGGTGCATAAAGAAAAGTTCTTCATTAGTTCCCATAATAGAAGGACTAGAGGACACCAAAAGAAATGAATAGGTAGCAGGCTTCAAACTAATAAGTGAAAGTTCTTCTTCACAAAGCAAATAGTCAACCTGTGGAACTCCTTGCCACAGGAGGCTGTGAAGAACTATAACAGAGTTTAAAGAAAAGTTCGATAAAGTCATGGAGGCTGGGTCCCCAACTTCCCAAGAACAAACAATCTGAAGTAGCCCAGAAAAGCCCAGCAGCAATTGTACCCAGAGATGGAACCAGGGCTGAGACAGGACTGGTCACACTGTACTGCAAGGTTCATTGGATTTCCCTGCCCACGCCCAGGTCTGTGACACTTTCTCCTGCAGCCCTCAGGACCCTGACTTAGAATCACAGGAACCACACTGGGATTCCTGAGCATGGAGAAGCCAGGCCGCTATGGGCAGTGACTCTTGGGAAGGTGCAGTGGCAGAACAGGGAAAGGATAAAACTTTCCATGGCTGGAACAAAGGTTCCTGTGTCTAGGGCGGAGGGTGCTGCTGGCGATGGAGGAAGCCACAGAATCACCCATCCCTCTCCAATGGCACTGGATGGGGAAATGACATTTCTCTGTCCCGCTGTTTGAGCATCTCGTGAGTTCTGGCCCATCAGGCAGGAAATGGACAAACACTAAATGCTTTTCTGCACGGCCTGGAGTCATGTGAGAGTGTCTGGGGAGGAGCCAATCAGGCCTCACAGGGCACTAGGGGACTAGCAATCACTCTGCTAAGTGGGGAGCAGGACACAGCCGCTGCTCAGGGGCAGTTTACACTAGGAAATCTGGTGGCGGGTCCCAGGGATGCACTGGCCAGTCCCAACCACGTTTCCCACCACAGAGAGAACCTCTGAGGCAGAGGCTGCAGTGGCAGAGGTGGGGTCTCTGAGCCTCCCACAAAAGACTGTGTGAAAATCTCCCCTTTTCCTGGGGCTGTCTGACTGCGGAGGGGGCAGGGAGACGGCAGAGGAGGCATCTCTCCCCATGTTCTCTCAAACGCTCGATGGCCCCTCCTGCCTCCTCTTCCAGATCCCTCCCCAGGCACGGCCTGTCAATGCAGAGAGCAGCTCTGGACCCGCCACCCACTGTGCAGTTACCAGGGCAGACATGGATACACATTTTATATCCCGTGCCTAATTTGCATAAAAATGTCCGCCGCATTTTGCTGACTCAGCACTTTGTCACCAAAAAGCAGCCTTGTAATCAACTTTAATTATTTGAATTACTCATGACTAAACAATTTGGTGGAGAGTTTCAGGGCAATCAAACAAAGATAGATCCGGGACAGCACAGTGGCATATGAAAACAAATATAAGGAATGGTATTCAGCAAGCAACAGCCAGTGTTGATTTGGTTAACTTAACATACCCCTCTCTGCTCCTCTGCACATCATACTTTGTTTGAAAACTTATTGGCTGTGTCTACATTGGCAAGATTTTGAGCAAAAGCAACTGCTTTTGCGCAAAAACTTGCTGCCTGTCTACATTGGCCACGAGTTCTTGCGCAAGAACACTGAAGTTCTCATGTGTGAAATCAGTGCATCTTGCGCAAGAACTACGATGCTCCCGCTCAGGAATAAGCCCTCTTGTGCAACTGTTCTTGTGCAAGAGACCAGTGTAGACAGGCAACATGAATTTCTTGCGCAAGAAAGCCCGATGGCTAAAATGGCCATCGGAGCTTTCTTGCGCAAGAGAGCGTCTACACTGGCATGGATAATTTTGTGCAAAAGCACATGCCAGTGTAGATGCTCTCTTGTGCAAAATATTTGCACAAAATCTTGCCAATGTCGACGTAGCCTAAGAGCCCAGCTGGGTGCTGTGAGGAATTGTGGTATGGCCCCTCCACCTGCCCGGGGGTGGGGTGGGGCTGCTTGGGGCCTCATCCCAGGGAAGATAAAGGGCTGCCTGCTGCTCTCTGCCTCACTTTCACCATGCCCAGACTGTGGCTCTGAACCACCCGTATGACTAGAGGGGGATCTAGGAGAGCCACACAGGCAGCTGTGGGAGCTGCCTCCACCTACCTGCCTTGTTTTAGGGCAGAGCCCTGCAACTCTGCATGTGGCTCCAGAGTTCTGCAGAGACGTTTTGCGGAAATGGAGCCATTTTTTTGTATCTGTGCAGAGTTCCAGCCCCAGTTTCCTCCACAAACCCTCCTCCTCGTCTCTCAGTATTTTGTCAAACAGATCCCAGTGTCACTGTGGGATTTCAGCAGGGGAGGATTTAGCAGCTTTTCTGCACGTGCCCCTTCCAGGGAATAGCTCCAGGGCAGTGGGGGAGCCCAGCCAATGGGTGATGCAAGATGGGACGTGAGGACAGGTGTCCTGAGACAAAGTAAGGCCTGGCCCAAGTGTCCTTCTCATAATGTCCATGTCAGGGGGATCCCAGCTGGGACAGGAAGGGAGAGGGGGAACTTGAAGGAGGCACAGGGAGCACCTGCAGGAGTTTGTCTCTTCCTTCTCCTCCCTGTGGCCCAGCAGCTCAGCAGTCAGGGCTGCAGCCGGTGGGAGGGCTGAGTGGGGTTTTCTCCCCCCAGCTTGGGGTTTGCTCAGACCAGGAAGAGCCAGAGGGCCGATGACCAGTTAATTGTTGGGTGCTGCTGTCTCCTCACCCCAGCGCTGGACAGCTGGATCTCTGGAAGCCAAATGCCACTCATCTGTGTGTGGGAATTAGGCAGGGAACAGAGGGTACGTCTACACTACAAAGTTAATTCGAACTAACAGCCGTTAGTTCGAATTAACTTTGATAGGCGCTACACATGCAAACCGCTAGTTCGAACTTAATTCGAACTAGCGGAGCGCTTAATTCGAACTAGGTAAACCTCATTCTACGAGGACTAACGCCTAGTTCGTATTAAGTAGTTTGAATTAAGGGCTGTAGAGCCACTTAATTCAAACTAGTGGGAGGCTAGCCCTTCCCAGCTTGCTCTGGTGGCCACTCTGGGCACAACCAGGGAAACTCTTCTGCCCCACTCCCGGCCCCGGAGCCCTTAAAGGGGCATGGTCTGACTATGGTGCCCATGCCAGGTGCAAGCCTGCCAGCACCCAGCCAGCAGACACTGCACCTGGCACGGCACGAGCCAGCCACCCGCTGCCACCCAGCCCCCC